ATCCTAAAGTTTAGGAGAACGAGGGATCCCCGGTTCCACCCCTGCTTGCCGTCCGATTTGGCATGGGGATATGTGCCAATCAAAGTTATTAGGATTACTTCTGCTAATCATGTACTTGAAATATTTGAATCCTCTAATAACCAGAGGAGAGCTGCACCTTCTCAGCCGGCATCCATGGCTGCTTTCTGCCACAACATATTGACATCAATTAAATAATGGAATGGGCTTGTGACAGGAGGCTCTTTAGCCAACACAGTCTGCAGTCCAAATGTTTCAAAAAATTGTTCTAGACGCTAGGTGCTCTCCTGTTTAACAGATTAACCCGCTGCGAAGACAACCACTTTGGCACATATCCCGGTGATGTTCGTTTTAAAATGGACAACATCCAAAGATGAAGCAGGGCCTTCCAGGTTCCCAAAATCCAACGCTGAAGCCTGAAGCCTGAAGCAAGGCGGATGCTGCTTATTGGGATTGCATGCGTGGGCGATCTCGACAACTCATAATGATTTAGTTTTTCATAACCGTTTTTCTCTTCCCCTGATTACCGAAAAAGGGTTTCCCCCCGCTTTGTATACAAAGCAACCAACCAAGCCGTACAAGGATAGGTGCTGGGGCGGAAGCAGCACAGTGACACCCAAAAGAAACAACAGAGAAAGAGCAAAAGAAACAAATGCCGACAATGGCGGATCAACGAAAATGCAGAAGCCTCGCGATCGCTGCGCCCACCGGGATCTTCCACTAGGTTCCAAGACTCCGAAGCGCCGGCACCTATCAACACCTCCAAGAAGGATCGTGACGATGACGACGCTGCTGCCATGGGTTTCCCCCGGTACACGACGAGGCGAGAGGAAAGGTAGCCCCCGACGCCCTTCCGGAAGGTCAGGTGGCACCCACAGGCGCCGCCGCGCCGGTGTCGACCAAGCCGACAGGGGTTTCCCCCGATCCCAACCCGCACCTCGGGCGCTCCGGAGCCAGCCACCAAACCAACCACCACCCAGCGCCAACACGGTCAAGAGGCCCCCACACCGTCTCACCACGACACCGCGAAGTGAGGACAACACGCGAAGAATCAGAGCCGGGACTAGGGCATCAGTACCGTCGGCACGCGGGAGGGCCCCACCTCCACCGTCAGTGACGGTAGCCGTCCGGACGCAATAGCAGGAGCACACCAGGCCCGTAGGCCCACAGGCCCGGCCGAGCCCTCGTGGGCCCGTAAAGCTCCCGCCCTCGCGCTGCTGCCGGCACGCCGTCGGCGCCGCCGCCCACATCCGAGCCACTCCTCCTCCTCCCCGAGCTGCAGACAACGAGGCCACGTCGGCGCCGGCCCGCTAGGACCCAGATAGGGCCCTAAGGGAGATCTGGGCCGGGGGCGCGCCGCCGGCCACCAGCGCCACCAGGCCACCCCGTCGCCAAGAGGCAGCGCCACCACTGCGCCAGCCGCCGCCACCAGGACGCCGGACCACCTCCAGCCGAGCTGCACCCGCCGCCGAGCCCTGCCCCGGGAAGGGCGCTGCGCGCGGGGGAAAAGAAGGCCCGCCGCCGAGCCACTCGGCCAGATCCGGGGGCGCCGTCCGGCGGCGGCGGGGGAGGGAGAACGGAAGGGTGGGAGCGAGGGAGGGATGCGGAGGAGCCGCTCCAGCCGCCGCCCGGGGAGGCGGCGCGAGGCGGAGTCGGGAGAGGGAGCCTCTTCCCCTGATTAGGTACTTCATAGCGCTTTGTCGCTCATCTTGCAATGGAAGCAGCTTCTACTTGTAAAGTTAAAAGAGCCCACGATGATGATGATATTTAAGATCCTGCTTTGCACCATCTGGAGGGGAACGGACGAAGCTAGACCGGATGTTGGTTGAGTCTGTGTTGTGTTACTTTGCTTATCTTCTGTTGTTTGTTGGCCGTGGCCTTTCATCTTTGCTTCCCCAGAGTCCTATTTGTGCATGATATTCAGGGGACAACCTAGGTTGTTCTGTTGCTTCCTTGTAAGCTGGTTTTCTTTTTTAGAGAAAAGGCACGAAGGTCCGACTTCAAATTAATGAAGCCATCAACCGGCTAGGATACAATGATGCTGAATTACAAAGGCAAAGACTTGACCAAAAACTGAAAAATACATGCCAAATTCACTACGACCCGGAGCAGCAGCGAACAGAGCATCAAGAGAAACTGCGATCAAGCCGCCGGAAATCTTGAGCAGACAGAATAGCAGGGCCGAGGCCACCCTGCGCCGACAATTGCCGTGGACATGAAGGCCCAGACCGCTTGAAGGAAATCATCAACTCCGCCACCCACTGCCGGAGGGGAGACCACTATCTCCCCTTCGTCCAGACCGTGCTGGACGCCCACCACCGGCCGGCAGCCAACCAGCAGACAAGGCGGGGAGCCACTGAAAGATGTGGAAGACCCAAACGCCACCAACAACGCCGGCAACCAGGGGATCCGAGCATAGCTGCCGCCACCCACCACCAAGCCGCACACCCAACCTCCAACCACCCCTTGAACGGCGCCTCCAGGGAGGACTGAGATGCCAGAACGCCTCCGCCGTCCGGCCAAAAGGCCAAGACTTTCGCCCAGAGCAGGAAGGGGGAAGAGGGGACGGATCTAGAAGCTCGACCTGCCCTCAAGAGGGGAACGACACCGGAGCACCGCCGGCGTCGAGGTCGACGCGAAATCGACAAGGGGTTTCCCCCGTTCCAAGACTCCACCACCCCATCCTTGGCCAGATCTGACGGGCCAGCCACCAAATCGGGAGAGGAGGCCATTGCGAGGGGAAGGGGCCGAGAGGAAGAAGAGCCGCCCGCCGCTGCAGCAAGACCTCGCCGCCCTCACGCCACCCACGCGGCTGGAAGGGACGACCAGCACCCGCGCGCGCCATCCACCGGAGAGATCGGTGCCGCCATCTCCACCCAGGACCGCCGCCCTGGCTTCCAGAGCCCCTCACAGCGGCATGAGGCAGCAGATCCTCGCCGCCACCTTCACCGGAAGACGCGCAGCAGCCGGCGGGATCTCGGGTGGCGGCGGGGCGGGGGGAGGAGGAAGGAAAGGTGGCGGCGGCTAGGGTTTGGGGTCGCTCCCGAGTCGCCCGCTAGGGGCGACCCGAGAGCCGGGGGGAGGAGTCCGTGTCCTTGTAAGCTGGTTACTCCAGCACTAAGAATCATTTTGAGCTTTCTTATAAATCTGGGCCATATGCCACATTTCTAGAAACAAAACAGTCCACTATTGGAGTTGAATCACATTTTTCTGAGAAATTCAATGGTGACCAAATGATGATTGGCTGTTGTCCAACTTAAATCGTGAATTAGTTTTATATGTAGGGGCCAAATGATGGATGATATAGAGGATTAAATGATTACCTGATGATGAATTAGCATGGTCCAACATAAATCGCGAACAGTCGGATGAGAATATATGTACGGGCTACCGATCCAGTGGTGCTTTTTATACAAAAATAGAAGAGAGGAAAGATATAGACATTTTTTTTTTGAAAAGGAGGATGACCCCCGGCCTCTGCATCTGGACGATGCATACGGCCACTTTATTAATTATTCTCACAAGACCTTACAAAGTCATATAACAGTAAGACTAAGGCCGCCGTCTAAGCAACAAACTGTCGCTACACCTAATCACCTATCCAGTTGATGAAGGGGTGCAGATAGCCTTGGCCTCATACCAAACAGACATCGCAGACAAGCCTAACATCTAAGACCTGAGACCCCAACCTAGCCACGTGTCGGGTCTGGGGCACACACTGGTCCGGCGTGCTCTCAGAGGCCGCCGCTGCCAACTGCCACCGCTCCCTCTTCAGAAATGTACTGATGCATCAACCTTACTCGGTCCAGTTATCGTCGACTCCACCACGGCGCCCAACGACACCACCTCCCTGCGCGCAAACAGCTGAACACGTCGCGGTCGCCACTGATACACCTCAACGCCATGCTGCCAAGTATCACCAGCCGACACAGCTTGAAGCCCTTGGAGGATCTATCGTGCGTAGCACTTGCCGATCAGGCATGACCAAGCGTAGCACCTGTCGGTCAGGCATGACTTGACATCTCCACCGAAGCTCCGTGCAAGTCGAAGCCGCTCCACCTCCTGCCTCTGACTTCCAGCGCTGCTCCACAAAACGATGCTCCCAAGAGAGAAACGAAACCGCCATCGTCCGGTCTGGAACACCAGATTCTAGGGTTTTCCCTGGAGCAATACGAGTGGGTCGACGGTAGTCGCATGACGATGCCTTCATCAAGGTAATGACGTGGAACGCCGCCATCGCCCGCCGTCGGCTCCGTTTTCACCGGCAACTACGTCTCCCCGACTCGCAGCTGGTGCCAGATGACGGATCCCGGGATCCGAACACCTAGCCTCAGGCCGACCACCTCTGGCGGAAGAGATGACCACCACCGCCAGCTGCACCGGTCAGAACAGATCTGATCGGAGGTGCCGCCGACGAGACCACCAGGCCCTCCATGCCGCCGTCGCCGATCTGAAGGCAGCATGCCAAGCCGGCTGCCGCCGACGCCCGAAGGGCCATCCGCAGCGCCCGCAGCCCTGGCCTCCGCCGCGTCAAGCCGTCGCCGTCCGAGGACGGGCCGGCGTCCCACCGCCTGCAGCCATCCGCCGCACCGCAGATCCCAGATCGGTCGCGCCACCGCACGCCTTGGGGTCCGCCCCACCCCGGAGACGCGCAAGAGAGGAGATCCCCCGCCACCGCCGTCGGCACCCGGGCTTAGCCCGGCAGCATCTTCCGGCGGTGGCGGAGGGAGAGGAGGAGGGAGTTTGCGGCGACGGCGGCTAGGTTTCTGGCCGCCCGAGTCGCCCTAGGGGGAGGACGACGCGGGGCGATGGTTGTGTCTGAGATATTGAGATATATAGAGATATATAAATATCAAAGCAGCGTCACAACGCAGATGAAGGCAGTGGCATGAAATTTCTTCAAAAGTACAATAAAAACAGATCAAACCGGGCACAGGACATTAATTCACAAGCAAAGGATATATCAAACATTACAAGATCATTCAAGTCCTAAGCACAGGATATACTGGTCTATAAACGAAAATGCCCAGAGCGCCTCTCTTATCGTCAACATACCTTCGGATCCTCCCAAACCCCCCTTCACCCCAACTTTTTCCCCATGAATTCTTGATGCGCCAGTACTTGACACCTCTGGAGTCTGTGCCATAACCGACGACCAAGACAGCGTGCCAGCCGGTAAGTCTTTTATCATATTTGTAGTCCATGATGCCTCGGTTGTACCACTGCAAATGATCACCTTGCACAGTGACGATCACGGGTTGCTTTGCTACCGCTTTCTCCAACGCATCCTCGTCTCGGCGGACATAGCGGAAGTTCGATATCCTTCCTTCTACTTTTTTATCCAGTTTGCGACATATACCCTGCCGAGCCTTGTATGGGTATGAAGATTCTGTTGTGAGCCCATTTTCCTTTACATAGCGGAAAGCATAGCAGTAGTCGCCACCATTACACCCGTAGTTCTCTATGTTGCAGTCGACGAGCTCTTGAACTGACAACCTGATTGATCGCCAAGTCTTGAGGTAATTTACTGCCTCGACCGAAGCTGCAACTGCCATGGCCCAACAGCTCCCTGCAACAAATAAAAGCATTAAGTTTGTGGAGCTTTACCAAGTGAGCATTGCTCGCTTGATTGGGGTGGCCGTCTAGGTTCAAGTTCTCGGAGATGTTTTTGGTGGATTGCAGCACGAAAGGATCCATGTGCTGATATGCATGAGTAATTTGTACGCAGCTAGAGATCAACTATGATACTAGCAGAACAGTTTAAAACACATGCTAGAGGAGAATAAACTCATGGCACTTACCACAGTCCTTTTGATTCCTCACAACCAGAGAGACAACTCCGGCTTCAACCCAATCGACCTTCGACGGACGGGCAGCCCTCTCGGCAAGCTCTGCATTCTTCTTCATACACCAAAGCCCAACACCAAAGGCAACCATCACCATAGGCATGGCATATCTGCAGCACATTGTGGTTCTAGCTGAGAAAATATGATGAATGTTTACTTTGGCAAGTGGGAACCGTGGACACTAACCAGAGCTTTTGGATTATATCTCTCCCTAATAATAAAGCACAGATTGGGTCTTCGAGTTCACCGTCACAATACGCTTTCTTCTCATGTCGTAATACGCTTTTACAATTCGTGTAGACAAAATCAAAATCCCAGGTGGTACTATTCCGAGAGGTCTAACAGTCGAGCTTTGGCTGAAACCTCGCGTACGTAATCGGGCCGGCCCATAACCAGGAAACGAGAACATGAAAATAGCACGAAAAACAAAACCACACTTAATGGGTTCGAGCTCGCGACCTCACGCTAGGTAGCAGGGACGCCAACCACATGAGCTAGCTGTTGATAATGTTCAAATTGCAGCGCCTGAGTTAAAGTAGTTTAGCGACAGGTCTATTTATTTTTCTTAAATACTTTCAGCAATTCTTGGAAATAAGTGTGGACGATTTTCCTTAAAATATTTGAATATGAATACATTTTTAAAATCGTGGATAAATATCGAAAATTCAAACAAAATTTTGAAACCTGAACAAATTTTGCAATTGATATACGTTTATTTATTTTTGATATACGTTGTATTTTTAGAAGACTATACATTGAACATTTTTTACATAAATTTTACAATTTTACATACAAATTGAACATTTTTCTCTCGTTGCAACGCACGGGTCTTTTTGCTATAATAATAATATATAATCTCTCCCTAATAATAAAGCACGGATTGGGTCTCCGGGTTCACCGTCACAATACGCTTTCTTTCTATGAATTTACGCCCAGCAGCTACTTCTAAAAGTAGAAGTGAAAAGGAAAATTAACCATGGAAAATATACGCTAGAGCTGGGATTCGAACCCACATGGTTTTGTTAAACTTGCTTCTCCCCGCACAACAACCACCGCACCAAAGGCCACTGCGTGTTGTAGGATACGAAAACAACACTATCCAATACTTCGCATATTGTACCCATATAAAGAACTCGCTACCTTCTCTACCTACGTGTGTTCAGCTAACCACTAGCGCCGGCCCATTTTTTTTTGAGAGAACATATGATTTTTTTAAAGAAAAATGAAACCTCACAAATTTCAGAAAAAGTTCATGAACATGCATAAAAACATCGCCCTATTCAAGAGAAGCCCAATGATTTTAAAAACAAAGTTCTCCAATTTACAAAAATAGTTCACAAAAAATTTAAAAAAGTTCATCAAAAATTTGAAAAAAAAAGTTTACCAATTTGAAAAAAGTTCATCAACTTAAGAAAGTAGTTCACAAAAATTAAAAAATGTTCATCAAAAATTTGAAAAAAAGTTCATCAATTTGCAAAAAAAGTTCATCCAATTTGAAAAAAATCATTGAATTTGAAAAAAGTTCAAAGATTTTGAAAAGGGTTCATCGAATTTGAAAAAAGTTCATCGATTTTGAAACAAAATAATCAATTTTTAAAAGTAGTTCACAAAAATTATTAAAAGTTCATAGATTTGAAAAAAAAAGTTCATCAATTTTAGAAAAATCATTGAATTTGAGAATGTTCACGTATTTAAGAAAAAAACGAAGTCAGTGAGGGAAAGAAACCAGGAAGAAGAAGAAACAAAAAATGCAAAAAAGAAAAGAAAAAAGGAAAAAAGAAAAGAAACGAATAAAGCAAAGCAAGAGTTGAATATTATCATATCGTATTGTGTCTCGTGGTGGTTATACTATCGAACATCTATCCGGCAGGTCTGTGGTTCGAGTTGCAACGACGGCTCCCTTCTTTTTTGCGGAATAGAGTATGCAGTAACGGGCCGGCCCAGTACGGGGTGCTGCAGGCGCCCGTTTGCAGAATACACGTTAACAGGCGCCTGCAGCGCCAAATAGGATTTGCCTTTGACGCATTCTGCGTCAAAAAGACGTCTGTTCGCATAGGAATCGCGCGACTGGGCCGACCAATTTGGATTGACCTCGCGCAGAGGTCGGGTGACAAATGCATAAAAAGAAAGAGTTGAATATTATCAGATCATATTGTGTGTCGTGGTGGTTATACTATCGAACATCAATCCAACAGGTCTGTGGTTCGAGTCACTACGACGGCTCTCTTCTTTCTTGCGGAATAGAGTACGCAGTAACGGGCCGGCCCAATACGGGGTGCTGCAGGTGCCCGTTTGCAGAATACATGTTAACGGGCGCCTGTAGCGCCAAATAGGATTTGCTTTTGACGCATTCTGCTCCCTGTATATAGTGCGCCCGCAAAAAGGGTTCCCAAGCATCCGCCATGAAGCTGTTACAGAGCGAGCTGGCTGCAGTGCCGGACGACGACGGTGCATGGTGTGCTACAGGAGCAGCAGGCGGCCCACGGGCATCGCGAGTACCTGCTGCAGCTGTTGTGTCTCAACTGGGAGTGGTTCAGGTCACGCGCGCGGAGATAGATCTTGGAAGGCGGAAAACACAGGCCGAGATGGAAAGCATCTGCCGTGACGCTGCGCTGGCAGTCACCTTCTCATATGTGATTGGTGCTGAGCCACAGCTGTCACGACTCATAAGTCACGAGGAGCAAGGAGCAATTTGCATAGTGTTGCAGCACGCACCATGTGTGGTGCATAGGAAACGAGTAGTGTTTTTTTGAGCCACGGTTAGTCAAGAATATATACGTATTACAAAAAACCTACAAGAATACGTACAAAGTCTTGCCTACTGGACACATAGCTAGCTGTCTCATAACTCGCAATATATAGTGTCAAGCATGAATCGTTCCTAAAATTGGTCAACCTAATATGATCATGACAAAGATGAGCTGAGATTTGCATGAACAGCGGGCACTAGCATGGAAACATTCTGAGGGTATATGCGTGCAACAAGGTATGATAAATACTCTCTCCGTCCCACAATATAAAAATGTTTTTCAAGCTATGTTAGCTTGAAAAACGTTCTTATATTATGAAACAGAGGGATTATCTAATAAGAATAACTACGGGATCACTTAAATGTACCATGAGCGAGAGCTAGCATATGGTAAATAAGATATGGGGTCTGTGAGTAAGATAAGAAATTGTAGCAGTTTAAATGAATACACATTGTTATTTATATTCCCATACATATTAACGTGATGAGAGCTTGCTTGGAGCATATGAATGCATGCCATTTAGGTATGAGCCATCAACATTCAGACACATATCCTTGCTGGAAATTCTCATCATCAACAAATATATTTTTGGAAGGAATGATAGATGGAAAAGATATATATTTATATTCAAATATATGGTTTTACGTGACAAGATACATAGCTCACTGCCATTGTTTGTTCATTGTTGCACACCAAAATTCTTGCCATCACCCTAATATTGAATGTAATATTTATATCGAAGTATAGTAATTTTCCTTGAGACGTCATTTTTTTGCCTCGATAATTTTCTAAAATATGAGATGTATAAACCGTAATATAGTGATGAAGAACAGACTCCAAATGTAAACATATGTAGTATCCTCCACGTAGGCTAAATTATCTCCATTATTGATTACAATGGTTTGGATATTTAAGCGACTCTTACAAACATGTACTTAGTAATGCACCTTGAATACTATAGATAAGAATATAAGTACGCCTGGAAGCATCTGACATAGCATAACCATGCTAACACGAATGATGGGGCGGGTACAGAAAGATAACATTATAAGGCTCACATGTTATCACTATTAAGTTCGGTTGTGGGAAGCAAATCCCCTGACAGATGTAAAGAAGCACCGTATCAGGTTTTCCCTTCCTGGTGTGTAACTAACATAAAACTCACGGTGCACAGTAGCAAAAGAACAGATAGTTTTGCATGGTGAGTTCTCGACCTTGGTGTCTTCAGTCTTCACACACCCAAACCTCATGAAAAATGCAATACACTTAAGGAATAAAGTGTAGTACATCTAACAAAAATATTTTTAGGAAAAATAAACATTTTTCTTAAGACATACTTCTCTTACTACAAATAACAAATTGAGATGGGGAAGTTAGTTGGTGGAGAAGAAATAAATACCTCGGATTCACTAGATAAAAACTACACAACATTAATCTAAAAAAAGACCAAATCATGGGAGGCATGAATGCGCACAGTCAAAATTGCACTACATTAGATGTCTACAAATATATTTGGATTGGTTAAGTAAACAAAATTGATGCAATATTTCATAGAGTTTTTCTGGCAATAGTACCATTTATTGTTCTTTACAAGTATTCCAATATGAATGTTAATGGTTGACGTTGTATTCAGAAGACCTTTCAAAATTTAAGCGACATGACGTAGAATGTCACAAAACTAGCCGCGCAAATAGAGTAAAAAAAATGACGTTGTTGAACTGGATTATTTCTAAAATGATAGTACTCGCGACCCTTAAAGGTTAGGAAAAGCATACAAAGTCTACATGGAAATTTAGTGGTAGATAGAGTTTGTTTAAGCCACCACGATCCTCTAGATAAACTAAAATGTTGGCCGTTAATTGTGTTGATGCATCCTAATTATACTGACAAAGATTTAAATACAAATATTAAATAAAATGAATATAAAAGATAAGAGTTGGACTAAGAAAGATCAATCAA